ACATTACCCAACTACATGATTAGGATATCTTCGAAAAAAAATCACAAAATCGCTACAAATCACAAAATCATCTTATCTCGTACACTAAAAGGTTTTGGGCATACTTAATTGGAGACCAAATTCGCGACCCCTGGGGAAACTCTGACATCATTCCACTTTTCTGTTTCGAACTTTTAACTCGGTCGAACAAACACTAGATTCAAACTAAAAAACCGAAAAAAAATCCTTCCCATTGCAATATACGATATAGCTTACCCACGCATACATACGTTAAGCCATTAACTGTTGCAAAAACCGCTTACACATGGCAAGATACGTGTCACACGCATTTAAATATAGTATAGATTTTTGATTGTCTGAATGACTGTTCAAAGCTTCTGTCTGCTGATTTGCTTGCTCTCTCCATTTTATTAGGATGTTTGGAGAATGAAACTGCCCAATTTTTAATGAAGAGCAATTGAAATTGTACAGGTTTAACATGTTAATGTCAGTAGTTGCTTTCAAATTGAAATACGTTTCTCCGAATTCAGCATTAATTCAATTGTCTCAACTTAAAACCAATTTAAAAAATCTACTGCCAACTATGTTTGGGTGAGTGCGGATTAACATTTTCAAAGCCGAAAAATTTTCCAACAAACAACAAAGAACATAGCCAACATGCAGTTGGAAAAAATTCAATCAAGACGACGAAACAAAAAACATCATTCACTTGTTTTTTGAAAAAAGCTCAAATTTTTAAGAAAAAACAAGATGCCCTTCAAGCTCTTTTAATTTCTAGAACAGCACTGGTTTGATGAAATTAACCCAATTTGAGACAGAGGCGAAGCTTCGCAAACACTTGCGAGAACATGACAAAAGGCAGCTCTATAAAGTGCAATAAAAAAGCAGAAATAATCCTCGAATTAGCAAAAACTCGTCTACCTCTGAGATTCGACCAGCAACCTACAGATTAAGAGTCTCGCACACTAACCACTACGCCACGGAAGCTTACTAAAAACACTTACTTAGATTTTTGAATGTTTTTATTTGTCTTCATAAGAAAATTTAAGTTAAAAAAATTAAAATATGTCCATAACAAATCAAAGAAGCGTTAACAGAAACACACAACACGAAAAAAATTATCAGCCCAAAAAAATCCTCACGACTTTTCAAGAAATTGAGAGACAAACGGAGCTTCGCACCACTTGCCAAACAAATGTATGTCACTGATCAGCCAACTCATGAAAATCATAATTTCAGATAACTCACAATAAAAGATAGGAAAATAGTTTTAAAACAGAGAGGCGAAGCTGCGCTTCGCATCATTTGCGATACAAAACAAGAAAACCACTAAGTCGGACAACATCAAAAAAAAATCGAGACCATCAAAAGAAACTAGATCCAAAAAATGAATCAGGCTTATTTTCAAATAAAAACATGCCAAAACAATAGAATGTGAAATGAGCATCGGAAGAAAATTAACCAAGCATTAACAAAGCCGAAATTACCTCAGCAGAAACCAAGCCGAAAAGATATCAACAAGACTTCAGACTTATAAAAGACCACCTCGCCCTCACAACACAACATACGCAAAATTTCATTTGCTGGTCAATTAAAAGAAAATGAGGCCAATAAGCCGATATAATATAGACCTAAACGTATTTAGCCGAAAAAAAATAATAATTAAAGAGCCAAAAAAATATCCAAAAAATGACTGAAGAAGACTTCTGTAGAAAAAATAAGCAGCCAAAAAAGGAAGAAGGTAGTGTTGTCATGAAAAACATGTAATAATTTGTAAAGATGTAAGCAATTTGTTCGATTGAGAGGCGAGCATAAAAATTACTAGCGTGTAACGCACCTTCGATGCTTCGAATTTTTGACAACATGAAAAACTGGAAACAAGATCTGGAAACCAGATCTGCAGGCTTTTAGTGAACTCTGAAAGCACCCAATTACATGGCTGGTAATTTCATATTTGATATTTTTTTTAATAGCTTTTTTCAGTCATCTCGAAAACGTCAAATCTCGAAAAGTACAAGTATTTGAGTAGTCATATTTGGAGGCAAGATTAACAACTCCTGGAAGTACCCGGGCAGCACCAAGATACAGGGTTAGGAATTTCAAATTAAAAAAACACTCAAAGTTGAGTTTTCTGAAAAATTTTGAAAAAATCACAAAAACATCATATCTGGAAAACTTCAAAACACAAAAACTTGAGCAGTCATAATTGGATGCAAGGTTTGCAAACCGCGAGAGTACTCTGATAGTCCCCAAGTACAGGGTTGGGAATTTCAAATTTTTAAAAAAAAGTTTGTTTGGGATTTCTGAAAATTTCTTAATTGGAGGCCAAATCCGCAACCCCTGAGAATATTCTGACAATCCCATACTACAGGTTGGTAGTTCCGAAAAAAAAAATTTAGTTTTCATGAAATTTTTTTGAAAACTCACAAAAAACGGCATATCTGGAAAACTACAAGGATTTGAGCAGTCCTATTTGAAGGCAAGATTTGCAACTCCTGAGAGTACCCTGACAGCACCCAACTACAGCTAAAAGAATTTAAAATTTTGAAAAAAAAAAATTAATTAATTTTTGAAAACTGTTTTGAAAAAATCACAAAAAACGTCATATCTCGAAAACTAAATCAACTTGAGCAGTCGTAATTAGAGGCAAGGTTTGCAACCCCTGAAAGTACTCTGATAGCCCCCAACTACAGGTTGTGATTTTTCAAATTTGAAGAAAAAAATTATTTTAATTTTCTTGAAATTTTTTTTGAAAAATCACATAAAACGTCATATCTCGAAACTTAAAGTATTTGAGCAGTCATTAAATAAAAAAGCAGGTATACAGACAGACTTAATTTGGCCTCGACAAAAAATTACTGAAAAATTAATGACCTTGCTGAGAACCAATTGAAAATTTTTTTTAAGCATTGCAATATATGATATAGCTTAAACATGAAAAAATTCGTTCGTTAAATATGCAAAAAATATTATGCTTAAACATGGGAGATAGCTGTCACTCGCATTTAAATATAGTATAGATGTTTCCATTGAAACGACTCAAAATTAGGTCAATAGGCCAAAAAAATACAAACCGAAATCGATTGGGAGGATCAAAGTTTTCGAGCCAAAAAAAACAAAAAAGTAATTATACGAAGTCAAGGTTGCTTAAATCACAAACATCAGAAGATAATCAAAACACTAGAAGCAACTAAGATGTAAATTGCGTACAGCAAAAGAAAAAAATTCTACGATCCAACTAGGCCAATTTTTTGCATTTTGTTGAATTTTTGAAGCTTGCGATTCCAAAGAGCGCCAAAAAGCTCAAAAATTAACTTAATTTAAGTAAAACTAAGTTTTTGCACCTTAAATAGAGCTATTGTAAGCTATGTTATTTTAAAAAATTGTAAGCCTGCTCGCTCGCTTTATTCGCTCGATTAAAGACCAAAAATCAATTATTTTAAACCTGTTTTTCTCAATACTATGACCAATTTTTGAATACCGTTCGAATCACGAACGAATGAATTTAATATGATATATCAGTCAACCCATTCCGATGATTATTTGGGGTGGCTGATTTTGCGTGGAAAACAAAAAAACTAAAACACCCGAATACTAAGTTCCATGACTTTCATATGTAGTAATAATTGCTTAAATTATATCAAAAGTTTGTGTTGTGACAAATAAGCCGATAAAAAATCAGCTAACGATTGATAGTTTCAGTTTGCAAAAATCACAGGTACTCAAAGACTCACGCCCCAGATCTCTGTCTCCCCAAGCATAGACGCTTAATCTGAGCCACAAAAGCAGAACGAGAGGCTCAACTTGAATGGCTATACATCAAGCTATCAAACACAGCCAACAGACATTTAGAAAAGAGTAAATGAACGCAAGCAAACAGAAAAAAATACTGTATTGTTTTTTGAAAGAATCTCAACTCTCGGGTTTCAAAGAAAAAAATAGATGCCCTTAAAAGTCTAGAGAATTTTGACTAGCACTTTTTTGATAAAATTAACCCAATTTGATACACAGAACGAAGTTGCACTTCGCGTACGCAAGCAAAATCTCGCCGATAACGCTACTGGGAAAAACTGAATGAGTGAAACTTTGAGTCTAGAAAAATTCTTAAGTGACGCACGCCAATTATGAGTCTGTGAAATTGCTGAGTGACGCAAGCCAATTATGACGCATTAGCAGTACCAGTCCATTTACCAACTATCATGCCTCAATTTATAGAGCGGACACATTTTAACTAGTATACGAAAAATTTAATTAAAAACATCCGACCCTGCCCAGGCTCGAACCCTCTTATTTTGTTGCGGGTCTCCTTCCCTACCTCTACGCTACAGATCCATGATACCTAGAAGCTAAAGTGCTATTTGTAATTGGCTGTACCTTATAGCTGATTATCGATCAAATCTAACACTTTCAAAATGAACACTAAAATCGGCGTCTTAGGTTGCTTTGCTTGTTTAAAAACTGGATCAATAAGAAAATATTTTATTTCGTTGCGAAATCTGATAATTAAATTCCATTTTTGAAAATAGAAGTCAATTACGTTTTTCGTCCCATTTACACTTTTACTGTTTGATAGTGAAATTTGCCTTCTTTTTAACAATGGAACTTCAAAAGAAATAAAACGTTAAACCGCAAAAAAAGCAAATTTGAGCCTAAAGAAATAGTAAGACTTTTCCTGAAAAAAAAATCATCGCGACCTATTTAAGAATCCGAGCTACGTACATCGACTCTTAAACAATTCGATGGCTTTGTTCAAGTTGTTTACAGGAAACATTCCACATTCCGGTGATAACTCTGACAAATCGCAAACGTAATAAAAACTCTTTAAGATGTAACTACCATTTTGAATCCGTGCAATTTGGAATATTAAGCATTTTAGGAATATTAGTAGCTTTCCAGTTTAAAAAAGAAACGTTTGTAAATGATTTTCAGCATAAATTAACAAAACATAATTAACAAATCTAAAGAAACATTCATAAGTAGAATAAAGAAGAAGGCAGTACCTGTCGCAATGTTCGAATCTCCTCTTCAACCTTGAACAAGTCCTTCGTCAACTCATCCTGACTCCGTGCATCGTCAGTCCTCATCGAAGGTGGAGGCAGTTCCCATTCTTCCTCTTCCTGTCCCCCTCCCCCAAAAGCCCCCGTGGCCCCTGCCGGATCACTGTCACTAGTAGCACCCGAGAGAGACATGTTTTAACTAAACCGGTTGAAAAACCTGATTGTTGTTGTTGTTGTTGTGATGACGATGCAGAATGATGACGCGACGTGAATACTTCTCTACTTATGAAGACTATCTAACATAGGCAACATCTGAAACAATACTTCTTTCCACTCCTTTTGTCTGCATTGTTTTCAGTGATTTTTTTCTAAGCCATGCATCTGAATGACAACTTTTGCAAAAAAAAACAATTTCCAAATCCAAGCGGTCCAAAAAGCCCCAAATAAACCCGTCAAAACACCAAATATAATAAAAAAGACACAAATTTGGCAAAACTTTGAAGTTATGCTTAACACGTTATATTGCGCTCAGAAATCTTGTAGTCCAAGAGACACGGTTGCCCATTACCCTTTCCCTCCATATCAATTTTAGTTATATTCCCGATATAAAACTCCTGTTGAGAATAACTCGAAGCTGCAGTGGTAATAGCAAAACAGATCATATGTTTTTTAATTCCTTAAGACCTTAATGCAATAAAATTTGCAGAAAGGTATCAAGCTTTTCAGTTTTTGGTTCCTATTTGAAACGCATGAAGGACGATTTAGTGGCAGTGTTAAGCTAGAGCCCTCAGAGCGACAAATTTTCTTGATGCATGATTTTACAATCGCATCATCTTTTCTCACGCAGAGGCGGAGCGGAACTTCGCACCACTTGCAATACCACACACACATAGCGTTGCAATCTAGCAGACAGAAAATGAAAGAAAAGCCATTAAGTCGAAAAACAATTAGAACATTTCGAAAACCTTAACTACAAAACTTTCAGAAATTTGTCTGGAATGATGTTCAATTTGAAAACACAATAACTGGCGTTTAATAAGTATTCAGACACCAAAATTGATCGGCAACTAATCCGGCAAAAGTTGGCTGACCAAACATAAGCAGACACACAACAGGTCGACAATTTTTCGAAACAGAATATTTCCCTTTTGAGAAAAAAAAGTTCTGGCCTAGTTCGAACACAGGACCTCCGCCACCTCAGGCGTAGTATTTTTCTCAAAAACCATGTTTGCCTGAAAAACTAATAAAGTTTGATTTTGATGTAAGCCAAGCTATCATATGTTTTTCTGTAAATATTTTGTAAAACAAGAAAATTCCTTGATGCGGCAACTAAGCCGACAAAACATAACCTGACTAACAATAGACCGAAAATTTTTTTGAAACGGAATATTTTGTCTTCAAAACTTAAGACTTTGCTTCTTAAAAGAACTGTCAGTAGTAACAGTAGACCGGTAGAACTTAAATTTGCACGAGTGCACGTGAATGAAGTCTAGGGATTCAAATGCATTTGTTAAACAAGTTGTTAACCCGGAAAAGTCTGGATTCCAGTTTGATAACGCTTGCTTATCGGAAGCGTATTAACCAATAATATACTAAATCGGCGTTCAACTTGCCGCGCATAGAATTTTCAACGCAGAGAAAAGGGGCGAATTACACAAAATGTAAGAAAAATGTAATTACAAAAAATGCATTAAGAAAATTTGTCCCACGCAATTTTTGATCAAAACTTTTCTTAAAATGCATACATACATCATTTTTGACACGTTTTATTTCAAAACCTGCTTTGGGAAGCATTGGAAAATTAATTGACCTAACACGTCACGCAGCCTCAGCCCTCTCGAAAAAATACTGCTCAACATCCTTATCAGACTAAAAATTTACATAGAGGCTAAGCCGCATTTAGCAACAAGCGAAAAAAGAAGCTCTAAAAAGTGAAATAAAAAAGTTAAAAAGAAGCCTAGAGTAATATAACTTCTACGAGTCGAATTCAAACGTGCGACCTCAAGACTCGGAGTCTCGCGTCCTTGTATCTGAGCCACTTTTGCTTGACCACCGGCACACAGTAGCCACCAATACAGCAGAGAACAGATGCTATGAAACTTCAATGCTACACATCGTGATTATAGCAAACCTGTAAAGTGACACCAAAAGAACACTTTTAATTTTGAGTTAGGTCGGGAAAAAATAGATGCATTCTTTTACACTACGCTCGCTTGTGAAAACAAAAAGGAATATAAAGTTTAAAGTTTCGATTTTACATAATTAGCAGTATTATCAATTCGTCCATCAAATCTGTCGTAAACTAAAATATAAAAACTAGAATTCAAAACGGCGTCTACTGAACAATATTCGACCTCTTCATCTGAAATGCAGAGCCAGCGCTCCCTTTCTTTATTTTTCACTCTTTTGTAGGTTATGTAATGTCCAAACTCATTTGAAGCTCCTAAATGGGAAATAACCGCCGATAACTTATACCAAAATCGATTCGTGTCGGAAGTCAACTTGAAATACTCATGCATGAATGGTAAGAGATTGAGCATAACTGGAAATGCAACGTGGTTCAGAAGCTTCCGAGGTTCCCCGAAAGGAGACCAAAAAGTACGGTTTAAATGCAGCATCAAACATCGAGGCGCTTTCAGGATTTTGAAAGACCTTTTCTGACTTGTGTTGATCGGAACTCCGCCAGCTAAAAAAAACATGAAACTCTAATCCAAGGAGAAACAATTCATCGAGGACAAAAGTTTGGCCAAAGCGAGCACTGAATTACTTAAAACCTTATTCAGTGCTGTCATCTAGGTTTAGCAAACAATTGACACACTTTGTCAAACAAACCAAGAGAAAACTATAACCAAACCATTTCTGCGTAAAATCAGTTATTTTTGAGCACATGTAACATTTTAACAAAGCTAATCAGTTTTCAAAATAAGCTTTCTCGCAGGGACAAGTAAACAATCTCTCGCCGGCATCAATTTAGACAGGGTATCATTCATTTCGCTAGAGAAATACTTTTTCAAACATCAAATCACGATTTATAATTTTTGACTTTGATTTTGAGTTCAAAATCAAACTTTCACGAGAATAAGCTTTTTAACGTTCAAGAGATGAATTTCAGCAACATGGTTTTCTGTACTTCGCTCGAAGAGCTTGCTTGAAAAAACTTCTGAAGATAAAAAAGGGGAGTTGTTTTTATAGTACACTTGTTTAAGAAAGAAAGCGTTGCTGTAATGTTTTAGACAAAAAATTGACATGTACTGTCTATCTCGGCTGAAAAGTTTTTTTTAATTGCGGATAGATCTTGAAAATTTTTGATTCTCTTTTGAACATTGAGCCTGAAAAAATTCTTAAACGTTGCGCTCGACAGAGTTAACTATTGAGTACAGTTGAACACTGCGTCTATAGCACATTCTGACTGTCATTCGATATATACAATAAAAAACCGAGTTAGTTGAATCATCACAAAAGTTTTAAGATGCTTGAAAGCAATTGCTAGATTGTACCTTCAAAATAAATTAACTCCTTCTCCAGAATTTGCAATGTGAACTCATGTAAGAATGCATTGCTTAGACAATCTTAAGATTCAGAACTTCGGGTTGAAACCCTGATTAAACTGAACTTCAACTCACTTCAAGATTTCAAGCTAATAAACGCGGTCTCTTAATTTTTAGCCTCAAAAATTCATCACACGTTCATTGCCCCAGAAGTTTTTTTACCCTGCTTGTTTTTAAAATACTATTTTTTCTGCCACTACTTGTCCAATACTACTTTGAGTTAATTTTTCTTTCAACTATCTTTTACCCCAAAACACCTCCCCCGATTAGAATCGCTAATCGATTACCCCTCCCCCGATTAGAATCGATTAATATACCTAATTTGGAACAATTTTCACAGTTCACGCCAGTAAGTAACTCCCCCTCGAAATGTCTCCTCAGCAGGTCGTCAAGCTGCAGCTCACACGAGGCGGGTACAGTCTGTGCAAAGGCAGGGTACATGGAAATCGACCGTGCACTCTCTATTTTGGACGGTTTTCTCGTCCACTTACACGATAGACATTTCATTACAGATACTGCATACATAGAAAAAGGCAACGATACTTTTACTTTCGACACTGTTCGAATGCGAGCATTATTCTCCGAAGCCTTTGAAGAAATCTTGAAATTTAAGTGGTTCTCTTGAGCTGAACGTGAACTCATTTCGCTTAAAATAGCTTCAAAAAGTAGAATCAAAGCCTCATGCACATCTTGCTGTTTGCACTCTCTAGTCCAGCCATGTTTGAACACCAGTGCATTAAGTAGATTAGCGCACGATAAAATTTCTGAACTCATCTCGACCGAAGGTCGGTTTAGTTCGGCTATTAAAAACTTCAGATTGTTGCCAACTGCCAGAGAATCATCGTTTTCTACACAAATTGATTCAAGCCAAGACTGAAAAGCTTTCGTTGCGGATAATGCTTGCACAGCTGAATTTACGAAGCACCAGTTTCTAGGATTATCTAAACCTCTAAATAACATTCTTCCTTTTCCGTATTTTGACGCTTTCGCTCCCTTTTTGTCATAAACCAGAAGAGGCCAAGTCAAATAACCCACAAGAGCGACACCAGTTATGCCGCATAGGCCGAACTTCCATGATATCGAATTCCAATCCAGCTTACACCATATATATCTGAAAAAAGACCAAAGCTCACCAAAACGCCAAGTTGCTCCTTGACACTTAACGGAATGATGCTTCTTTAAAAATCACAGAAAGTAGTGAAGTTTTAGTAGTCAGGCGCTCAACGCCGTCAGATTATGTACTCGATCCCCTTCCGTTGCAATGATATTACATACTAGTTGTTTGTAGTTGCAATGATTGATAGATTGCAGCAGATCAGATTTTTTTTTAAATTTCTAAATGTTAATGATCATTTACCAATCATTCTCATTTGATTTACAGTTCTAGTTCCATCGTTGACTTCTTAATGACATAGCCAACAGACAGTTGGAAAAAAGCCAATGAACGCAAGTAAACAAAAAAATATGCGATTTGTTTTTTGAAAGAATTTCACAGAAAAAAAATAGATGCCCTCAAAGCTCTTTGAACTTCTAGAACGATTTATGATTGGCACTTTTCTGATAAAATTAACCCAATTTGAGAAAACTGGATCAAAAAGTATAACTTCTTTTCATCTTGGAAATCTGAAAATGAAATTCCACTTTTGCTGATAGAGGAGATTGCTTTTTTATTAAAGGAAATGAACTGAACTTAAAAAGTAATCAAAGTCCAACCGCGAACAAGAAAAATGACCCTGAACGAATTTTATAACTTCTCCTGGAAAAAATCATCGCGATCTATTTAAGAGTCTGAACTACGTGCATTGACTCTTAACCATACTGCTGAATCGCTCCAACCAAAATGGCAACATAATTCTCACAACCTACATTGGGTGATATATTACAATAGGTGGCACACTCAAGTTAAATAGCTGGATCGCTCTTTATGATTTGGAGAATTTTCATAAATTTTTTCAAGGCCAAATTATTAGCAGTTGAAACTTTGAATATTAAATTATCTGGCAGAACATTGTATTTGCAAAAACTCTTTTTGTAGCATGTACAATTGACTGAAAAGGAAAAAAATATTTTAGGCATAATGGTTGTCAAGTTAAATACGTGCACTAAATTAATATTTCTCTAAGTTACCATCTATTGTACTAACTCTCCCTACATTACGCTAAAATGTCATCGACCTGAACGAAACGGCACTCACACCAACTCAATGCTAAGAATTTGTACATTTTAAGGACGATAATAAAAAAACTTATACTGACATGGCAACAATTGATTTTCATACGCGAAGCGCAGAGCTTCGCACCACTCGAGATACATAACTATATGCCAAAGTTCTTAAGATAATCTGGCTCGAACAAAAAAGAAATATTTAAAAGAACAATTATGTCGAAAACAATTATGTTGAAGAAATCGTCGGCTGAAAACTCAAAAAAAACTTCTGTAAGTTTTTTGAACTCAATTACCAAAACCAGAGGATTTAGTTTACACAAACTCTAATATTTCTTTGCTGATAACTATCAGATCGAAAGAAAACAAAAAAAGTGAGATTTCGGTCTAAAAATCATGATCCAAACATTCCAAAAATTACCAAGAAATTTCTCTGAACCAAAGAAACAGCATGCCCTTCTAGAAAACAAGGTGTATCAAAAGGCACTTTCCATTGCTTGCTAAATACCAATCAAAATATACGAAAAAAAAACATAAATTTTCGAAAAACTTGAATACAAATATTTCAGACCAATACTACAAAAAAGAATTTGCTGAAACATTGCTTATTTTTTAAAACAATTCAACTAGAAACACTCCGAATATTCAATATTAGGCAACACTCGCTAAGTACCCGGAAATTTAATTTATAAATTTATTTTCGACTAACTTTTGATACAGAGGCGAAGTTGCACTTCGCATAGACAAGCAAAAATATGAACGATAACGCTACTGGGAAAAACTGTATGAGTAAAACTTTGAGTCTACAAAATTTCATAAGTGACGCACACTAATTATGAATCTACATAATTGCTAATGACGCAAGCCAATTAGGCCGCATTAGCAGTACCAGTCAATTTGAAAAAAGAAATTTACCAACAAACAGCCTCAATTTACAGAGCGGACGTATTTTAACTAGCATACGAAAAAGTTCATTAAAACATCCGCCACTGCCAAGGTTCGAACCCGCTTATTATGCTGCTGGTCTCCTTACCTACCTCTACGCTACAGATTCGTGATGCCTTGAAGCTAAAGTGCTATTTATAATATAATAGTCTGTGTTAATATCCTTAGCATTGGCTGTACTTAATAGCTGGATCAAAATGAACACTTTCAAAAAGAACACATTTTGTCGCAACAATTGCATCGCAACAATATTTGCGACTGAGCTTAAAAAAATAGTTCATACTATAACAAGCTATGATTATGAAAAGAATTTTGAATATTTGAACAATACGCTGTGCCTTCACCTTCAAAAAATCTAACATTAAAAAAATCTAACAAAGAAAACTGCCTTTTTTGCGCTTATTGAAAAATTTGTTTAAAAAAGCGTTTATAAAAAAGCACTTGCGCGTGTTACGTTCTTAAAACTGAATCAAAAAATTAGTGGAATAGAACTTTAAAAATCACCCGGCAAAATAGGAGACTAAAATTAGGCCAAAATCAATAAATCGAAAAAAAAAACAATTTTACATCTGAAAATTGTTTTACCAGTAACGCAAATTATTTCACCAGTAACGCAGATCCCATAACGCAAAACTAGACACAGTAACTAGAAGTGATAAACGTGCAATATGCTGAAAATGGAGATCTTGAAATTGGAGATCCTGTGTACAAAGTTGTTTACTGAAAAAAAAAGTATTGTACCCGATTGTAATACCCTTGCTTTCTATACCCATTATATCAAAACTCAGCACCAAACTTACCAATGAATTCAAAAAATTGACATCTTGTCAAGAGCTTTCAATACTTTTAAACAAAATCCAGTTTCAAAACTAGAAGTGAATCGCCTTTTTCGTGACCATGACATTTTGCTTTTTGATCGCTTAGTTGCCTTCCTTTTAACAACGGACATGAACTTAACTTGAAAACAAATGGAAAGTAAAACTGCCAAATTTGGTGTGAACAAACAAACTGAACTTCAGAAATCAGAAGGCAAATCAAACCGCAAAAGAACATGTTTGGCTTGAACAAACGGGTCAAGTTTGCGGTGGACCAAAATTCATCACAACTTTTTAAAGTGTCTTCATTCATCGACACTTAAAAAAGCTCTAGCAATTCAAAATACGAAAACAAGAGTTGACGATGAAAAACTATCTTTGCATAAAAGATTTGATCCCAGTATATATCGATTTGATCATGTTCCTGTCGATACAATGTTACATGCCTTTAACCACATACGCCAATACCCCTTCGATCTGGCTTTTTCCATAGTCATGAATTTCTTGATATTCTCTTGAGGGTTCTTTGATATTTTGAATACTAAATTCTCATTGGCTTTTTAAGTCAAAACCGGTCCAATCGCGGCAACTGTCTTTATTACTTTGTTATATAAACAGTATAAATGGTAGAAGTTAACTTAAAGCTACGAATATACTTTATAATGGAATGAATGATTATCACAGAATTAAAAAACGAAAACTGAAGCATTTTCTATAGCACCTTGAAATATCACAGGTACAAGAAGTTTCTTTTTCTTTCATTTTCCAAATTGCGATTAACTGACTGCCTTTTGCAGAGAAATTGAATATTTCCCAAACTGCATTTTTAAAAGCACTTTTAATAAATCTATTGCTGTAGTGATGACAACAATTAGTAAAATTGAATTTCGTTTGGAGGCTTTATATGGGCATACTCACATTGATGTCGATGATTGATAGGTAGTTTCTCATGGTCGAATGAAAAATTTTCATGCTTATTTTTTTTCAAAATTTCGAATACTGATTTCTGACAGGCTAACATATCCATTGGTCATTCAGGCACGAGAGAGTTGCCCAATAATGTTATTGATAAGAGATATGATAGAATAATTTGTACACTATTTGATTTGCCAATTTAATTAATTCTCAATTTTTGCCATTAATTTTCGATTCATTGTAATTTTAAGTGCAGGATAATTTTTTTGGCCAAGTAATATGATTGTACGTTCATATTACACCGACCAGCTATCGATTCAACACAGGTGCCAATTAGTGCAATTAGATTAACAATATTTAACCATTCAGGAACGTTGAGCTTCGCAAGGCCCAGGATTTAAATCAAAATGAAAGCACGAACTTTGCCGAGAAGATTTGATGCCATCGCAACTTAAAGCAGCCAGTGTGATAAATTCTCCCTTCCCGCATCTTCAAGAGATTTAATGAGAAATAAGACTAATTTAGTCAACATGATGTTCATTAATTATTACGAAGCTTTGAGGGCGCCAAAACAAATGATATGGGTTTCCACATTTACCACCGTCAAAGTTTTTCGAAACTTAGCTGCAATGTATTCGTAGAACTGCCAGCAGCTTTCATTCTTTAACTAACAATTACTGGAAAAAAAAAACAAGATTTCACATTATTTCCTCTGTTAAAACGATTTAATAAGATAATTTGCTTTGCCGTATGCTTATTGAACATGACTACAACAATTTAGATACTTTATTGATCTTCAGGCACTGAAGACAAAGACGTTAGGAACCCGTTGCCGACGGAAACTCCCGCTTCGTTAGACGTTGCTCGCTTGATCTTCGTCACCAACCCCGCAAACTGATGCCTCACAACTTGGTTTTCTTCAGGTAATTTCGGGTCGACCAGAAGGACGCTACATGCTCCGACTTCGGCCACCGCTTCCTCCAAGTAGACAGTGTCACCGTCTTTGGTCCGGACAGGGTAGTTGTTCACGCCTTGGCCCTTAATGAGTTCCATCGCAATGTAACGAGATAGAAGAGATCTGTTAATGAAACAGCTGTTCATTTAATGTCAAAAACCAATCAAATAACAATTTCCAAGTTTTGACTTCAGTTGGCTAGAATATGATAACAGACTTATTAGTTTGCTGCAGCGTCGTCAAATTGTATGTTATTTTCAAAAATAACAAACTAACAGTTAACTATTGGAAAAAAAACATGTGATTTATGTTAAATTGTTAAATAATTCAACACATGTTTCTTGAAGAGAAATTCCAGCTGTATAGCTTTCTCGACGCCAAGTTGGGCTCCGAGAATACCATACGT